TAATATTTGTATATTATTTTGAAAATGTTTTGAAATTATTTGACATTTGTATGTGTTTGTGGTCATAGAGTAAGTAGATTTAAGTTTAAAGTTTGGAGTATTCAGTAGACCTCTATACAATTGGGTGAGTGCCGTGATTAACTTTGATATAATTGTTGCTAGCATATCTTAGTGGATTGCATAGTGTTGTGTGATTTTGTTTATGCATTTTGCCTGTGACATTACATTTATGAGAATATGATTTTATGACTTGAATTTGAGTTAAATGTTATTGATTAGTCCTTGGCAATTTTTTTATTATCTGGTGAGTTGATTTGAGATATTAAATTATTATTTAAATACTAAGAATTAGCTTGGTCTAATTGTTTATTATGCTCTTTATGTATATAGATCTAAAGATCTTAGGACCCAAGTTTGTAGTTTAAACTTAATATTTATTGGGCTTTTAACTTATGATATTCTTTCTATTTTAAATCTGTAGACCGAAGTAGTAGTCACTAACTTGGGAGTTTTGGTAGAAGTCTCATATGCTCATTGTATGTAAACCCTAGAACCTCATGCTTTTGAATGGAGGCAAAACAATGTATTATTAAAACGATGATTCAGTTTTTGTTATTTTGAAAAGTTTTGGAAAAGAATTTACCTCATATAATTTGTGTAAATTACTTTTATGTATATAATATTTAAATTAATTATAAATAAACTTAACCTAGCTTTTTTTTTTTTATAACTTTGAGTATTTTGATATTGTCTTAAGATATATATTGATGTTTTTTGTTAAAATAGTTTTCCTTTATAGGTATTTGATTTTTTTCTTATAAAATATTAAATTGATTTGAATGTAGATTTTCTTTTAAGGAAACATTTTATATTAAAAGTGATTTTACTTGCGTGTAATTATTTTACTATAATATTTATTTCAAGACTTCTTTAGGACTAAGGGTACTTAATGGAAGTGTGTTATAATATGAGTGGCATTAATATATATTATAAAAAAAAAGATAAAATGATATTTAAAAAAAATTAATTAAAATTAGTAGTTTTGTAAGTCAAAAAAATGACAAGAGAGTCTAACAAATTGAAATAGATATTTAGTTAAAAGGAAAAAATACATTTAGTTAATAAAAATAAAACATGTAAGATAATTGATTTATTAAAAAATGTATAAA